ACTGATGTCAGCGGCATCAAAGAGCACTGATGTCAGCGGCATCAAAGAGCACTGATGTCAGCGGCATCAAAGAGCTCTGATGTCAGCGGCATCAAAGAGCTCTGATGTCAGCGGCATCAAAGAGCTCTGATGTCAGCGGCATCAAAGAGCACTGATGTCAGCGGCATCAAAGAGCACTGATGTCAGCGGCATCAAAGAGCTCTGATGTCAGCGGCATCAAAGAGCACTGATGTCAGCGGCATCAAAGAGCTCTGATGTCAGCGGCATCAAAGAGCTCTGATGTCAGCGGCATCAAAGAGCTCTGATGTCAGCGGCATCAAAGAGCACTGATGTCAGCGGCATCAAAGAGCACTGATGTCAGCGGCATCAAAGAGCACTGATGTCAGCGGCATCAAATAGCACTGATGTCAGCGGCATCAAAGAGCACTGATGTATATTTAGTACTCTCGTGCAGACACCTTCGCTAGTTGTCACAGTGAAAATATCTTTCACAGAACTAAGTGTTCATCACTCCTTAGTCTGTCAGTTTTTCTCTGCAGGTTACTCAACAAGTTATTCTCCAACTGGACTCAACAAGTTATTCTCCAACTGGACTCAACAAATTATTCTCCAACTGGACTCAACAAATTATTCTCCAACTGGACTCAACAAATTATTCTCCAACTATATACGCTGTTCACTGAACTTCACAGACTGACTGTCTCTATATTTATTACAATTGGCAGTTTCATCCATATTTTTATGCAAAGGTGCAATCATCAATTTGTAAATTATTTACCAATGCAATACTCCCATTCATACAGACACAGTGCCACTCTCCAGCACATATAGGCACTGCCACTCTCCCGCACATACATTCACAATGCCACTCTCCCGCACATACAGGCACAGTGCCACTCTCTCATTCATAGAACACAGTGCCACTTTCCCATAATACAGACAAAGTGCCATCTCCGATCCATACAGGCACTCTCATATACGTATACAGGCATAATCTTCATACTCTCACATTTAGTCCACTTCTATTCTCGGAAGAACTGAATAATGTCAGAGCGTACCTCATCAACACCTGAAGCTTTCACACACTTGAGCTTTTGAACACTCATGCTTCCTCCCATGATGTACCTTCTGGCATTTTGCTTTACACTCTTCTCCCACTGTCAAAATCTTTATGTTCACATTAATATCTTGATCATAAATTTCAAAACAGTATTTTCCTTTAGTTCTACCATGCATGTTTTTAATATTTTCAATGACTTTTGCTCCAGTCGTTATGGTGAACGATCTTTTTTTTTTACATATATGTTTATGTAATATTTTTAAAATTGCAACATATTTGTTTTCATAAATCTGTAAGAGAGAGAATGTTTGTCCGAGGTTGGAGGCCAGCCGCTTGCGGCTAACCTCATTAAAGTTTGCAGGAATAATGGTCCCCATTATTTTTTTCCTCCTTTGCAGGAATAATGCTCAGTTCCCTTCTGATGGTGGAAACGGCGCCAAAGCCCCTGTTTCACGAAGTCTATTGAGGTGAAATGTTTTGCCCGGGTCCATAGATTTTATCATTAGTTAAAAACATATAGTGAACTCGGATATTTAACAGACAGGAGTGTTAAAGTATGAAAGGGAGTGAGAATGGGAGGGAGGGAGACTGGGGAAGTGGGTGGAAGGGGAGAATGGGGAGAGGTGGTGGAGACGGAGAGATAGAGAGACTTGGAGAGAGAGAGAGAGAGAGAGAGAGAGAGAGAGAGAGAGAGAGAGAGAGAGAGAGAGAGAGAGAGAGAGAGAGAGAGAGAGAGAGAGAGAGAGAGAGAGAGAGAGAGAGAGAGAGAGAGAGAGAGAGAGAGAGAGAGAGAGAGAGAGAGAGAGAAGAGAGAGAGAGAGAGAGAGAGAGAGAGAGAGAGAGAGAGAGAGAGAGAGAGAGAGAGAGAGAGAGAGAGAGAGAGAGAGAGAGAGAGAGAGAGAGAGAGAGAGAGAGAGAAAGAGAGAGAGAGAGTGAGAGCGAGAGAGAGAGAGAGAGAGAGAGAGAGAGAGAGAGAGAGAGAGAGAGAGAGAGAGAGAGAGAGAGAGAGAGAGAGAGAGATAACCAAACAGACAGAGATCATGGCACTGCCGGCTCCAGCATCTAGTTAATAATACCAATAATGAATAATTAATTTTGTCCATATAATATATATGGAAAAATATAAATATTTTTCGTATAATTCTTCCCCTCCTTGCATATCTTCCCTCTTCACTTTCAGTCCACAAAATCATCATTTTGACTTTCTCTGTCAGCAACTGCTCTTGTGCTTCCCCATCCCACGAGATCTTCCTCTCTTACAACCCGCCCCCCTCCCCCCTACCCTCCCGTTCCAGAGTGTGCAATATCAAACACTTACTTAGTATTCCTCACCAAACAGTCCTTGTATGCCCACGAATGTGAGTGAGAGTCTTTTGTGTACAGTCTTCTCCTGCTAGATCACCGTCAACTTGATTTCGTATTCTCACACCGAATGACTTCTCGACGTGTATGCCTTCACCTCTGTAAACTTTATGTTGTAATATCACCCATTTACCATTCAATCTTCTCTCTTAATGTGACCTGATAATCTACTCTCACATTAGACCATTCTGTGACCTGATAATCTACTCTCACACTAGACCACCATCCTATGACCTGTGACCTGATAATCATCCTTATATTCATCTTACTTTCTTTCATCTCATCTTAATATCTATCATCAATGTCTTTATACAAGACACCTTGATTATGCTTTTGTATCCATGCATTCTAGTGCTGCTGACATCAGAGCTCTCTGATGTCCCTGACATCAGAGCTCTTTGATGCTGCTGACATCAGTGCTCTCTGACGCCCCTGACATCAGTGCTCTCTGACGCCCCTGACATCAATGCTCTCTGACGCCCCTGACATCAATGCTCTCTGAGCCCCTGACATCAGTGCTCTCTGATGCCCCTGACATCAGTGCTCTCAGATGCCCCTGACATCAGTGCTCTTTGATACCCCTGACATCAGTGCTCTCTGATGCCCCTGACATCAGTGCTCTCTGACGCCCCTGACATCAATGCTCTCTGATGCCCCTGACATCAGTGCTCTCTGATGCCCCTGACATCAGTGCTCTCTGACGCCCCTCACATCAATGCTCTCTGATGCCCCTGACATCAGTGCTCTCTGACGCCCCTGACATCAATGCTCTCTGACGCCCCTGACATCAATGCTCTCTGATGCCCCTGACATCAATGCTCTCTGATGCCGCTGACATCAGTTTTCATCATAAAGTATTCATCATAAAGTATTCATCATAAAGAATACTTCCTCCAAACTTTCGTTTATTAGATTTAATTCACATGAAATATATGATGAAGAAATATCTCTCAATATATTCAGAATTATTACCATAAGACGTTTTCCCACACAACAGAAAAAGAGCTAAACAGGTTTCGTGGGAGACGGGAGAGAATGACGGCAAACATTGCGACTCAAGACAATAATGCTTGAGAACACTATGGTGGGCCCGGCAGTGTGTACCGTCTGCAAATATTGTTAAAGATTCAAACTTTCTTGAAGACAACTGTTGAATTTGTTTAGTTAACTGTAGTAAAATAAATGAATGCATTACTATTAGGAAAAATAACCAATAATGTTTATTTGTGGAGAATAAATCATGATTATAAAGAGATATTGAAATATGAAGAAACGTTGAGAAAAAGATCTGGAAGTGCTCTTGAATCTAACTTGACGATGTCTGAGAAATGCTCCAAGGAGAAATATATGAGAAACTAATACTAATCCTTAGGAAACCTTTTTAAATAAAATTTTAACAATAATTTCTTAAAAGTTTCAATGTCTTTTATTTGCTGTAGCAAGTGTAGTATTGACAGAATTGTCCTCGTCATTGTTATTCCCACGGTCTTTCTATTTGTTTAGTTGACACCTGAGAGGCAGGGTAATGCTGGGACTCTTTTTCCCAGGCTCCAATACCATAGTCGAGGGTTAGCCTCGGGATCACACAACCTAAGTATGTGGTGTATGATCCTTTCATAATAACATCATTGGTTCATTTTGTCTCATCACTACTTCTACCATTACTGTTCAAATACTGCTACCGAATCTTACACCAATACCTCTACAACTACGGCTACAACTACTTGTACCGCTGCCACAAAAACTAACACCATTACTAATGCTACCATTACATCTGCACACAACACAAACCAGTAATCGAGCTACTCCTATGAGAATTAAATACACATTACTAATTAAACATCCATAAATCACGATAAGAAAAAGTTTCTTGGATGGACATTTCGCACGTGTCTTACATGTGGTCAGTGGTGAGTATGAATACGCAAACCCAGCACCCGTCAGTGCCAAGGTCAGCATGAAGGATCAGCGTGAAACTCAATTGTTCTGATATGAATCACGGTGTTAAGTGTGTAGTCTAGACAACTATCAGACAAGTTTGTTTACCTTTCCAGCATTTAGAATGTTATATGAATTAATCTTTAGTGATATTTACTATTGGGATTATATAGCCTTAATGCATTAAAATATCATAAGTTTTTAGAAAGAAAAGAATCCCATTTCAACCCATAAGAAAAAAAGTTTTTTCAAATGGGTTGAAAGTAAAATGGTCATATTAGAAGCGAGTGAATACTGATTTGCGATACCTTACTTGGCATCACTATTGACCCTGGCTGAGGCACTGGACACTGGCACCGTCGATATAAAAGGCGCGCAGCTTCCTCTTGGCATCAGTTCACTTCGAGCCTTGTTACAGTCAACATCATGGTAAGAGATAATTACTTGAAACTGGTTATCATTATAATAGAAAATTTAATAAATTATATTTTATTGCTTTGTTGGACATTACAATATAATACAAAATTATTAGATAATATATTGATATCATGAATTACATGGAATAAATGGTGTACTCAGATGTACCTCGTTTATTCATCTCTGATATAAAAAAATTAATATTAGTTTATTTTATTTTCAGAAGCTGGTGATAGTGTCGATGAGCGTTGCCGTCCTGGTGGCCTCCAGTTGTGCTGAACCTGAAGTGAGTTCCTTCTCCACCTCCTCTATCGCAGGTGGAGGCTTTGGGCTCTCGAGCCCGAGCATCGGAGGAAGCTTCGGATCATTTGGTGAAGGATCACGTCACGGTTCCTTTGGAGGAGTTGGTGGAGGCTACGGTTCCGGAAGCGGCGCCACGAGTCATTCCATTTTCAACCTTGGAGCGTCCCAGGGTGGATATGGAGGAAGCTTTGGACATGGAGGATCCTCTAGCCTAGGTTTCGGTGGCAGTTCTCTAGGTGGTTATGGTGGCAGCTCCCTTGGTGGAGGTTTCGGTGGCAATTCGTTTGGTCGAGGATTTGGTGGCAGTGGTCACGGTGTCAGCTCCCTGGGTGGTTTTGGTGGTAACTCCCACGGCAGTGGTTACAGTGGCAGCTCCTTAGGGGGAGGATTTGGTGGCAGCTCCCTGGATGGTTTTGGTGGTAGCTCCCTCGGCAGTGGTTACGGTGGCAGCTCACTTGGTGCAGGATTCGGTGGCAGGTCCCTGGGTAGTTTTGGTGGCAGCTCATTTGGTGGAAGATTCGGTGGTGGCTCTACTGGCAGCATCGGAGCATCGTATGTAAATAAATAAATATAAAAACTGCACAACATAAAACCTTAATGAGATAAGGATATCTTCAATATTGAATTTATATTTTTCGAGCACTCCAAACTCCAGTTTCCAGCACTCAGAAGTCAACAGTCCAACACTCAGAAGTCAACATTCAATCACTCAGAAGTCATAATTCAAGCACTCAGAAATACACTTTCGAGTGAAATTATCTTCAATGAAAATTAGTCTCAGTAGGTATGAAAGAGACATCAAAATATAAACAGTAACTCCATAAGCTTTATATGTTAATCACAGACGGATTTTATATATAATTTTTCATATTTGAGCACAAAATATGTTATCAAAATAAAAACAAATAAATATAACTATAAAGAGTTGTCTCCTTTTAATCCTTTATGTTAGATTCAATGCCGTGTATTGAACACTAGACATAATGACCAATATTTATCGTCTGTTCACTTCTCCGGTCTTAACTTCAAAGAACACCCGGAGGAAATTCATTGGCGATTGATTAACCATCAAATATTTTGACAATCATATTATGGGTCACTAGCAAGGAACAGTAAAATACTCCACCACCTCTCACCAGAATTGTTTATTCCCTTATCACTATATGACTGACGCTTATATATGTTGTGTGAAGTCACATTAAAGCGGTAGCGGGAACCACAGAGGACCTGAAGAAAGATTCCCAGATACATTGACGTCTCTGAAAAAAAATTACAGTGCGTTTGTGATACATTTCACCTCAGTAGCTATTCATAGAATATATACGAATATCTTGGATTGTAACTTTTCTGGGAAGATGTTCTTGAACGTTTTCATTATCTCCTTGCTCTTAAAGGTATCCGGGCCATATAATTCAGTCTCAAGATTCAAGCTGGCTATACTAATTATGTAGAGTCACTAGTCCTCACTGGGAAACACTATGCTCAGCACATACTATAGCATGTTATCACAGAAGCCCTTCGCTCGAAACTATTCCAATAATTATGGTTAATTGAAGAAGTCATTCCTGCATTACGGAATAAAGAAATTTCCAGACGTAGCCCCTTGAAGAAACAAGTAACTGTGATAGGCAAGGGGTGTTTGTGGAATGGAAGGCACGTGTGAGGCATGAGACAGGTTAGCAGAGGTATTCAGCAGGTGTACGGTTAAATAAACCCTTACTTCTTGGCCAGTGATTAGCCATGCCATGCTCTTCGATTCTACAATAGTTGCTTCTATGATCTCAGATTAATAATGTGGTGATTGACTGACATTATTTTTGACAACAAAAACGTTTAGCGTAAAAAACTCAATTCAGTAGCACATAAAATTATAATTAACTATCCATTGGGTTGTGACAAAAATATTATTTACATTCTGTTTTTTGGGGCTACAGTTGATGAGTATATACTGTGAGCTCATCAACTACGATAAGCAGCGGGTGAAAATTAGCACGAGGCATATGGTGCACAAAAGTTATTGATGCATAAGATATATAATCACCAAGTGACGAGAATATAGAGTGTACACACACACACACACACACACATATAAAGAGACAAACCGTTCTCGCACTTTCTTATTGTCAATATTGACTTATTAAATAATTGCATATGTGACATACAAATTTATTGTGAATATTTTAGTTTACCTTGAAAAGCTTCATAGAAAACACCGTCCTTACCTAACCTTCTTAGTATGTTAAGATAAGCATCTTATTGCTTCGTAATTGCAATTATTACTTAACCTATAGCAATAATATTTTAGTTTACCTTGAAAAGCTTCATAGAAAACACCGACCTTACCTAACCTTCTTAGTATGATAAGATAAGCATCTTATTGCTTCGTAATTACAATTAATACTTAAACTATACCTATAATAGGGTAAGTAATAATTATAATTATGAAGCAATAAGATGCTTATCTTAACATACTAAGAAGGTTAGGTAAGGTCGGTGTTTTGTATGAAGCTTTGCAAGGTAAACTAAAATATTTACAATAAATTAGTATGTCACATATGCTCGTATTTAATAAGTCAATATTGACTATACAAAAGTGCGAGAACGGGTTGAAAGAGAATATGGGATGTTCAATAACCGAAAAAGAAGCTTGTGGGTGTTCAATAGCCAAAGGAACTAGGACCTATCACTTGATTTCGTAAATGCACCTAAGGAAGACAATACACATGCTGCATTGTTAAAACAGTTGACAGCGAAAAGTACAAATGCTGTGATTACATTACAAGGAACAGGATGAAATCAGTATTGTACTTATAACTGTGAAGAAGTAGGTGGAAGATGTACTGAACTGAAATTACAAATATGTTCCTTGATGCTGATTTTGTAAAAGACACATAAAGGAAGAGGAACTATATACTGGGTCTCCCGGAGAGCACACCTGTAACTGAACGAACGTCACTTACGTTTTTCATCAAGTCCCTTTTAATATGGGAGAACTCTGTGTCTATGATTGATGCACAACTTGCCTAAACACGCAAGTGAAGTTATACAACTTTAGAACACTTTCCCACCAGGAGACTCGAACCCTAGCCAGCACAGAAGCCTTGCAGCAACTGGCATAACAGGTACGCCTTTAACCCACTGCACCATGCTCAGACCCCTAAAAGAGATGGTAATTTCGGGGTATTTAAACACCCCAAAGATTACCACCTCCCAAGGGCAACTAGAGGAACTAGACAATGTGCATCAAGCATAGACACAGAGTTCTCCCATAGTACTATTACAATGGAATTTTCAATAGACGAAAGTATGAAAAAGAATAAACTATTGCAAGTGTTTCACATCCATCTCCCTTCCCGCCTCTCTCTCTCTCTCGATTTTATATATATATATATATATATATATATATATATATATATATATATATATATATATGTGTGTGTGTGTGTGTGTGTGTGTGTGTGTGTGTGTGTGTGTGTGTGTGTGTGTGTGTGTTGTGTGTGTGTGTGTGTGTGTGTGTGTGTTTACTAGTTGTTTACAAGTTGTGTTTTGCGGGGGTTGAGCTTTGCTCTTTGGGCCCGCCTCTCAACTGTCAATCAACTGTTTACTAACTACTTTTTTTTTTTCCACACCACACACACACCAGGAAGCAGCCCGTGACAGCTGACTAACTCCCAGGTACCTATTTACTGCTAGGTAACAGGGGCACTTAGGGTGAAAGAAACTTTGCCCATTTGTTTCTGCCTCGTGCGGGAGGCAGAAACGTGTGTGTGTGTGTGTGTGTATCACGAAAATAAACACGTGATTAAAAATGTGGCAATGTTCTTCACTCCTTCTGAAGATGTATTAATATACGAAAGTAATTAAGAAAATTCCTGTTTCATTTTTCCTCCGTGGTCTGACATTGTCATATATATATATATATATATATATATATATATATATATATATATATATATATATATATATTTATATATATATATATATGTCGTACCTAATAGCCAGAACGCACTTCTCAGCCTACTATGCAAGGCCTGATTTGCCTAATAAGCCAAGTTTTCATGAATAAATGTTTTTTTCGACTACCTAACCTACCTAACCTAACCTAACCTAACTTTTTCTGCTACCTAACCGAACCTAACCTATAAAGATAGGTTAGGTTAGGTTAGGTAGGGTTGGTTAGGTTTGGTCATATATCTACATTAATTTTAACTAAAATAAAACAAATTGACCTCATACATAATGAAATGGGTAGCTTTATCATTTCATAAGAAAAAAATTAGAGAAAATATATTATTTCAAGAAAACTTGGCTTATTAGGCAAATCTGGCTTTGCATAGTAGGCTGAAAAGTGCATTCTGGCTACTAGGTACGACATATATATATATATATATATATATATATATATATATATATATATATATATATATATATATATATATATATATAAAATGTCGTACTTAGTAGCCAGAACGCACTTCTCGGCCGTGGCTCGGCTTGCCACGGCCGAGAAGTTGCTGTGGCTCAGCTTCTTGTGGTTCAGCAAGCTGAGCCACAGCAACCTTCCCTGTCCCCCAGTCTTTCCCACCATTCCTCCCTCACCGGGCTCCTCCACCTCCCAACCATTCCCCACTCCACCGTACTCTCGTCCTTCCCACCATGCCCCCTTCCCATGTCCCTTTATCCTCCCCACCATTCTTCATTCCTCCATCTCCTCGTCCCCATCATCCCAAACTCCCCTGTCCCCTCATCCTTCCCCACCATCTCTCACTTCCGTTCCCTCGTCCTCCCCACCATTCCCCACTCCCTCGTCTGATGCCTTCCCAAATGGTATGATGTCCCCATCAGAAAATTAGGAACATCGAGTGATCTGATGTTCCCATCACTGAAATATACGAAAAACAGTTAAAAATGAAATGAAAATATGAAAACATAAAAAAAATAAACTATACTCACAAAAGGAAACTTATGCTAAACAGCACAGCCCAATTCCAACGCAATTCACACAAAATAAATAAATCAGAATGAAAATAAATAAAAATCTATGAAAATTCAATTTATCAATGCAATCAGAAACATTGAAATGGAATAGTAATATATTTAGTATAGCATGTGTGTTGCTCTTACATGCAACAGATGGCGCTGTTTTTCAAGAAAAGCATAGTTTTACCAGTCACACGTGTGGCATCTATACTTATACTTCTGAAATGAACGGTATAGTAAACAACACAGCTTAATTCCAACACAATGTCACACAAACAAATTCAATAAAAAAAAATCGAAATCTATGAAAATAAGGTTTATCAATACATTCGGAAACATTGAAATGGAATTCGTGACATATTTAGAATAGCGTGCATGTTGATATTATGTGCAACGCAGGGCACAGTTTTTCAAAAACGCATATTTTTACCTGTCACAGGGGTGGCATCTATATAATAGGTATGTAAAAAGATGCGCCTATTCGAATGCAACGAGGTGTCAAAATTTCAAAGCAATCGGTGAAAACTTTCGGAGATTACAGCGTGTGTTGCTCTAATGTCCAACAGATGGCGCTGTTTTTAAAAAAAGACACTTATTTTTTTAGGTCACAGGTAAGTCATGCATATAGTAGATATATAAAAAGACGCTCCTATTCGGATCCAACGTTGTGTCAAAATATCAAAGCAATCGGTAAAGAGGTTTAGAAGATTTCCCTCACATGAAAAATTCATGAAAACACAGTTTTTCAGAAAATGAATGTTTTTTTACCGTAATAGACGTGACATCTATATAGTATGTATATAAAACCTGGCCGGGTGCGAATGGAACGTTGTGTGAAAATTTCAAAGAAATTGGTGAAGAACTTTCGGAGATTAGCAGTTATGCACAAACTAACATATATATAAATATATATATATATGATGCACAACTTGCCTAAAGACG